GTAATCCCAGCTACTTGGGAGGCTGAGGTAGGACAATTGCAAGTTCAAGGTCAGCCTGGGCAATTTAGTGAGACCTTGTCTCAATAAAAAAATAAAAAGAGCCAGGGACCTATATACAGATTGAACTCAGTAGGTTCAATGCACGGTACCGCAAAGTAAAACCCCAAAACAGCAGCCATGTTTACTCTCTGTCTTTGGTTCTAAAAGGAGGGATGAGTAATTGTAACAGAAATCATGTGACCCACAAAGCCTTCAATATTTACCCTCTGGCCATACACAGAAAAATTTTGCTGACCCTTGGGTTAGAGAATCATGGTTGATTTAATTAGGCTGATTTTGTGTTATATATTTGGTCTGTTGGCATCTAGAGCAGCAGCTTGGTTCAAGTCAATGCCCTCTTAAAATTTTTATTTAACAATGTGTCTATGCATGTGTGTGTCCATATATATGTGTATGTGTGTACACATACACATATATTCGCCCATGGATTCTCATTTTGGTCATTGGATTGCAATCTGTTGCTGTATTTATTTATTTATTTATTTTTAACAGGGATTGACCCTGGGGCACTCAACCACTGAGTCACATCCCCAGCCCTATTTTGTATTTTATTTGGAGACAAAGTCTCACTGAGTTGCTTAGTGCCTCACCATTGCTGAATCTGGCTTTTGAACTCTTTATCCTCCTGTCTCAGCCTCCCGAGCCACTGGGATTACAGGTGTGTGCCACCACGCCTGGCCTCATTATTTATTTTGGTGCTCAAAGTGTCCTAGGTCGAGCCACTAGGAGCCCCTTATGGTGATTCCTGATCCTTTAAATTCAAAGGAATGTATCACTTGTCAATTAGCATCACTTTTTTAGCACTTCCCTCTTTCCTGTGCAACAGGATGTTCCAGGCCCATCTCATACCTGCCCTGCCCAAGCTTCCCAACCAGTTTTTTTCTCCAAGGAGCCCTTGACAGGCTGAATTTTTATCAAGGTCAAAAAGCACATTGGTGAAGGCAAGTCCTGATGCCCAGCCACAGTCCATGTGATCATTTGCAGATGACAAAACTGCAATCTCAATGTCTCACCTGCAGACCCGCCTTCCCGGACAGCCTCGTCTGAAGCCCTAACCCGCTGCGTCTATTCTCCTGTGTCGCCACACGCTGCTTTCTTTTCTCCACAACATTTAAACACTGTCTAAAATTATCTTCGTTGGAATATTTTGTAATTTTTTTTTCTCACTCCAACTAGAATATAAAGAACCTGCCAATTTTTTTCTTTTTTTTTTTTTTTTTAAGTTAATGGTGACTAGGAGACATCGCATTTGACTTGCTTCAGATATAGAACCAGATGTGGAACCAGTCATAATCTTTCACATTCTTTTGTTAGAAAATAAAATACAAAATGTTCTTGAAAATTTACAAAGACACATTTTTAATAAGTTCTATGAAGACAAGTCTGCTGATTTTCAACAATTAGCTCAATGCCCGGCAGGTAGAAAGTGCTTACATAATTGTGTTTATGGGGCAGGCTATATGGGCAATGACCAAACAGACTCCATTTTGCCCTGAGACTCCACATCATGTAAGAAATGCTTCTCCCATGGAAAGCCTTGCCTCTGTACCCATCAGCAATTGCTTAGCAGAGCATGTTTGGCAACACAAAATGGTAATTCTTATATAATGTAAAAGTGTTCTCTCTTTGGCTCCCATTTTTCTTGGACTATGTACCCTGTCAGAGATTTATTGTCCTTAGTAACCATTATCTAACTTGTACTCACCTAAGGACATTTTGGCCCAATCCCTTTTCTCTTGTGATTTTTGATCTCATGACATTTGTTTATGGTATTGAATCATAGCAACAGCCACTTATGCTTTAATATGGGTTTGGACTATAAAAGGTGTACTCAAACCCTGGGAGGAGGTTGAAGGGTGTAGACTTGCAACCTGCCCCTTGGCCCACCAGCTGGTGGATCCAGACTGCCAACTGGTGAATAAAGATTCCATCTCCTGCTTTAAGTTCGACTCAGTGATTTATTGCAATCTCGCCCTAACACAAGTAATCAAAAATAAACACAGAGATTAATACAGGTGGGAGTCAAATATTCCTAAGAAAGCTTTCAGTCATAAAATAATGCTGAGAAAAACCTGACCCCTTTGTCACGTGCATAATGAGTATCCACTGTTACCATGGGAGGGACTCCAGTCAGCCTTAATACATACTATAAACCTAGAACTTGACCCTGGCACAGTTAAATATGTAAAAGATGGAATGAAATCTTCCTGTTCAAAAATCCTTTGCAAACACAGCAGTGTGTCTTTATTCTTATTTTTATTTGTAGAAGTTTTAAAAAGACATTTCCTCATTTTCACCATCCTTTAAAAAAGCTTCTCTATCACATATCAGGGTAGGGAAATTTCCATGCATGGCAATCACTGTAATATCAGTGTTTTAGTTAATTTCCTACATTTCAAATATTTCTCTATTGCGTATTTAAGTCATTCTGTTGCTTTCTGTAGCTGTTACCCCTAAAGAATCTTGTGTTGTTACTCTGGTTATTCTTTAAACTATTCCTCTTCTGTTGGGTTATCTTTGATAAACAACACTGGCAAGTCTAATTTAAATGCTTTCTGCAGGGTTATCTGTAAAGCCATGGTGTGAATGCTAATCATGGCCTTACCTCACCTCACCTGCTCAGAGGTAGGTCACGAAAGGCGTTTGAGCACCAGAGTTTAAGTGTGTAGAAGTGGCGGTAATCAGTGCTTTTCCTCCTCCCTTGCAGTGAACCATTACATCTACTCAATAAGAAATGAATCTGAATCCAGGGCTTATAACCACTGATCTATGAGACCACAGGTCACATTTTAACCTCTGAATACCTGCTATTTTCTTCTTCACCACTTTCTCGTGAGCTTGCTTGGAGGTTCTAGCAGGGGACCACAGCTATTCATTCACGCTTGACAGAAGAACATTCGTTTTTATGGTGAGCCCAGATTCAGGAGGCATGCACACAGAGCCATTAGGGAGGAAGGGGACAACTACCTATCCAGCCAAATCAGCCAAAATCAACACTGGTGATCCCTGGGGTGACAGATGTCACAGCCAGACAGCCCTCACATCTCTCACCACTCTCAGTGATGTGACTATGGAAGCTCTTCTCTTTTATTCTTCTCAATCATTTCCAGAGTCTGAAATAGAGATGTATAGAATTTCCCTTTTTGAAAGTCAGTCTGTTTGGGCTGCTGTAACAAAAATACCCCAAACTTGGGTGGCTTCTAAATATCAGAAATTTATCTCTCATGGTTCTAGAGGCAGGGAAGATGTCAGCCAGCTTGACATCTGGTGAGACCACTTCATGGTTCATAGATGGCACCCTCTTGCTCTCATGGTGAAGGGGTGAGGGACTTGCTCATAAGGGCACCAGTCTCTATCACGTCTTAATGGTCCCACCTGCCAATACCATCACATTGGTGACTAAGTTTCGACTCATGAATTTGGGGAGTACTCTCAAAATTGTCAAGGTCATCAAGAACAAGGAAAGTTTAAGAAACAGTCACAGCCAAGAGGAGCCTGTTGGAGAAGGATGACTAAATCTAGTGTGTTATCCTGGGTGGGATCTGGGATAGGAGAAGAGCATGAAATAAAAAGTAAGGGAATCTGAAGTATAAAGTTGAATGGTGTTGTATCGACATTGGCTCATTCACTTCGACAAGTGTACTACACTAATGTAAGATGTTAATAATGGGGGGACAGAATATGGGGTACCTGGGAACTCTGTACTTTCATTTTCTAAATTTATTCTAAGCTAAATAGTTTATTTTTAAAAGGTCTAAACTAGTAGGTCGGGAAAGGATATAATTTCTATTACGTACCCATATAATCAACTTATTTTGAAAAAAGTAAGTGTGTTTTTCCATTTTCTGTAAACACATTCACATAAGTGCTATCTACCTTCAGGAATGTGCTGTGTAATGCAGAAGCCATGAATCACATGTGTCTGTTTAAATCAAGTAAAGCTAAATAAGGTTAAAAATAACATTTCTCTGCCATATGGAGAAATACTAACACACTTCAAGTGCTCAGTAGCTCCTGTGCATGCTAGCTACCCTACTGGAAAGCACAGATATAAAGAATTTTTGTCACCATAGACATTCTTACTGACAGCACTGTTGGAGATGCATGCATATTTAGTGTGTATGTCACTGCAGTTTGCAAAAGCTGTACCTAACATACATCAGAGTGATTACCCCTAGGGAGGATAGTTCACTTTTTATTTATATTATCCCATATTATTTCACTTGTATTCTATATTTTGTATTAGTTTCAATTTATGAGCATCTATTCTCATTACTTTGTGGTCTGAGATGTTTTTCATTTTAGCTTTAAGATATTTTTCATTTAAACAATGGTATGTAAGATGCCTTCACGAGGTTACTTTCCATGTGTCCATCAGAAGTGATATTTATTTAGCAAACTTACAGCTGAAGTGCTGCTCAAAAACTTTAGCATTTGATAAGCAAATCGGATAATATCAGCACAAAATTTTTTCCTAAATTATGTCTTGAGTTTCAAAAAATGAATTCACAGCGCAAGCAAATGATAACTTATTCTCGCCTCAAATTTTTAAATAATTGTGCCTAATTGAAATAAAGTTGATCTTCCATTTTGCTTTCTCCTCTATCATTTCCAATTACTCTCCCAACACCCTGCAAAGGGAAAGTTTAATTATCTGGCCAGTGGACTCTCTCTCTCTCAGCTTCCTGATCACCAGGTGAGCTGCTTCCCTTTGCTGAACTCTCCCGCCATGATGTTCAGCCTTACCTCCAGTCTTGAGGAATGGAGCCAGCCTTCTATGGACGAAGACCTCTAAAACCATGAGCCCTCAAATAAACCTTCCTGCTTTCCAGTTGTTCTGGTTGGGTCCTTTAGTCACAGCAGCGAGAAAGCTGACTAAAGCAATGTTCTTATCGGATTTCAAGCAACCACCAAATAAACATACACAATATCCCCAAAGGTGTAAAACAATATATTAATTTATTTCCAAGAAAAAAACCAGAACATTATCAAAAACAAACATGGCTACAGTAGTTTCAGGGCTTCTCGATGGGCTAGCAGAAATCTACTAGCTCGAACACTCCACTCCACTCTTCCAAGATTATTGAAGCTATAGGAGAGATGACCAGCAAGGGACGTGTAAACATCTTCTATTCCAGAAAAACATCTCATTCTATATGAGTAAGATCCAGTGTAAAACAGTTCTTCTTCTCAGGTGTTTCACTTAACTAACAAGTTGAAAAGAGACCATTTTTAGACTTCACTCTTGACCCTGGATGTGTTTCCTACCCTTCGACCCTTTACTGCCCAATACAGATCCTTTTTTTTTTTTTTTTTTTTCAGTAACAGGAAAAATAAAGTTTTATCATAGTCATTCCCTTTAAATATGATTAACATTCAATAGGAACAATTATAGAAAAAAAATAAAATTGTGTTAATTAAATCTATCATCTGTTGTAGTTATTGTTTTCATTAGAATAAATAAATATTTAGGAATTCAGTGGATTAGAGGAATACTAGAGTAGACTTCACATCTTTCTGAGGTGCCAGAACTTTTTCTCAATATTAACACTGAGATCATGCTTAAAATCTACCTTCTCTGGTATAGTAAATATGGCTTCATTTCATTTTATTTTATCTTCTCTCAATATGCCAGCTCAGGAAATGAGGGCCAGTAAGAGAATCCCAATTTTCAGACAAAGAATGTGCTTACTAATGCTGATTAACCCAAGCCTCAGTTACTTCATCTGCAAAATGGGGGTGGCTCAGGCTGCCCTCATGAGACTCCCATGAGGGTAGATGAAAGGAGACATATTGAGGAGCCAGCAGAATGCTTAGAACGCTACTCGCTTCAGATTCTGTATCCTCCTCCTCTCTTTCAAATGATCTCTAATTTAACCCTCATTTTGTGATTACTGATTTCCTTGGCCTGATTCCACAATAGTTAACTGCGCCTAGGGATGTGTTCAATACAACACTTTGTAAGCTTCTCCAGACCAGGCTTTTCATTATTAACGTTATTCCCAAGGTTTTAAGAACCTTCCATCTTCATTTTCTTCTTGTCTCAGCATGGGTCTAAAGGATCATAAATGCTCAAGAACTATTCCCTGAATGCAGGCTGAATGAATGGGTGAGGAATAAATGACACTCAGTCACCCACAATTAAAAGCCTTTAAAAATCAAGGCACTCCCATCAACACCAAGCAGTGTACAGCCACTCAGAGAATAGCACAGTGTAGTTAAAAGCCTTGCAGAATTTGGTGTCTGTTTTGCAAGTAGGATAATTTGGGGGGAAGGGAGCCACAGAAGAAGTAATTCATTCTGAGGTATTTCCAACTTGAGACGAGACTCATGTAACAGCACCTCTAGGAATGCCTTCATTCTTGTGAGGACTTTTCAGTGTTCTCAGTGAAAAACATGCAAGAAAGATCAAAGAATGTTCTGGCATAAGATGGAGAAACATTATGTGCCCGCAAGGTCCTTTCCCTGAAGCAGAGGACGGTGACTCCTATCTTAAAGCACATCCTCTGTCTCGTTAATGGCTTTACACCATATACAGAACTTCAGACATGGGTAAACTGAAAATATTAGTGTGGAAACTCATGAACAAGATCTATTTTTGTTTAGAACAAATTGTTGTGTTACCCAGAAAGCTGTCTCTGGGCCCATGTGTGGTTATGCACAGAGTAAAGACCATTAAGATGTTATAGAGGATTCTTTTTTTTTTTTTTTGGCCGTGCTGGGGATAGAACCCAGGGACTTGTGCATGCAAGTCCTTTTTTTTTTTTAAAGAAACTGAATTCTTTTTTTTGTCCTAAATAGGATTATCTACCATCCTACTTTCTATTAGAATATATTTATATTATGAGTATCTGGTGCAAAGATCCGATGGTATTTAAATTTGTCATTGATCGTAGGAATAGTCCAACCCAGAGGTGAGCAACAAGAAGCTGCCAAACCAGCCAAAGGGCTGGGATCACTCTGCCCAGCCATCCTGTCGTGTGTTTCACAGTGTCCAGTGGATATTTTAAGCATAATTATGTGGCCAGGTCCTGAAGCCATGACTGTGGTCCTGAAACCATCTCTTGCAAAGAAGGGCTCTTCTGTCCAACTGCAATTCCCCTGCAGACGTGAGCTGCTGATCAAAAATACCAGCTGGGCTGTATGGCGGTTTCACTCTGATTGAGGGTTCTTTCTCGAAGCCTCAGTTCTAGGCATTCCACGGTAAGGGGATACTTATGGAGCTCAAACTTGTTAGCAAACAGGCTTTGCGAATTCATCAGCCACTTTAAGTCTCCGTTGCCATAGATACAAATGCCATGTACGTAGTGGCCTGCAAAGGACAGAACAGAAAACACAGTCAAAACATGCTTGTTCTCAAAAGTCAAGGGCGGAAAGGTAGAATGGACTGCCAAGGAGGTAACACTGCCCCAAGTGTTAGGAGGTACAAAGAAGTGTGACTGGATAGTCCCAGCCTAGGAGGGGCTTAAACTCCCCTTAGGAGGTCAAGAGCTACAATTATGCATTTGACAAAGATGAGAATTAAATAGCACAAGGAAATGGCATAGTAAGTGTCCCGAGGTATGCGATATGTTGGAGAATGAGAGTTGTGGGTGAGAAGTTCTGGAAGGGTACAGATGGCAGAGGCCATTAGGGGTTATGTTGGCTAAATCTCTTCCCTGGGACTGAGGCTCTGGTCTAGCTTTTCCAAGTGCCGACTTTCACACTTCTCCTTAGATGGGTAATAAGCCTCAGAATGAAATGTCAGCACTGAACTTCTTTTTCTGTTTTTTTAAGGTACTGGCGATGACACCCAGGGCTTCGTGCATGCTAGGAGAGTGCTCTCCCACTGAGCCACAGCCCCATCCTTTTTTGTTGTTGTTAAGTTTTGAGACAGCGTCTCACAAGCTGCCATTCTGGCCTTGAATTTGCAATCCTCCTGCCTCAGCCTCCCGAGTTGCTGGGATTATAGGCGTGCACCACTGTGTTATCTAGTGCTGAACTTCTTAATATCTCCTCTCTACTAACCTCCTCTTTAAGTCTTCCCCATCGGAGTCCACAGTAATTCAGAATCCCAGGGAGGGGTGAGAGTGGGGTTCTTCCACTCTCTCTCATGTCCCACACCCCATCTATCAGCAATTATACACACTCAACCTTAAAAATATTAGTAGAATTTTACCACTCCTCACCACCTCCATGGCCAGCACCCTGGGACTCCACCATCTTCCTATCTGACTCATACCATTGCCCTGTTAGTATAGTCTCATCCCAACAGCCAGTGAGGTTGTTTTAAAATACAAGTGGAACTCGTCTCCTCTACTCAAGACCCTGACAATGGCATTTCAGACTCAGACTCTGGCCACACTTGGCCTTGTTGACTCAAATCTCCCCACTCTGACCTCTGCTTATTCACTTCGGCCACACCGGCTTCCTTGCCAGTCCCAAGCACACAGGTGAGCTCTCTGAGAATCTCCACTTTCTCTTCCTCCCATCCACCCTTCACCAGATATCCTTAGGGCTCTCTCCAGGACACCCTCAGGACCCTGCTTCAAAGCCACCTTCTTAATGAGGTCTCCCTAGACCGCCATTCCTTCTTCCCTGATGTTATGGTTTGGATGTGAGGTGTCCCCTAAAAGCTCACGTGTGAGACAATGCAAGAAGCTTTAGAGACTAAATGATTGGGTTATGACAGCCTTAACCCAATGAGTGAATCGATCACCTGATGGAATTAACTGAGTGGTAAGAAGGCAGGTGAGATGTGGCTGGAGGAGGTGGGTATTGGAGGCATGGCTTTGGGGTATGTAGTTTTATCGGCAAGTAGAGCTGTCTCTCTCTCTCTGCTTTCTGATCATCTGTGAGCTGCTTCCCTCCGCCACACTCTTCCACCATGATGTCCTGCCTCACCTTGAACCCCAAGATATGGAGCCTATTGTCTATGGACTGAGATCTCTGAAGCTGTGAGCCCCCAAATAAATTTTCCTCCTCTACAATTGTGCTGGTCAGGTCTTTTAGCCACAGTGGCAAAAAAGCTGACTAAAACACCTGATTTGTTTTCTTTGGCACTTGTCACCAACTGATACATATGTATCAGTGCCAAGAAGGAAAATGATATTTTGCTTATTGACTTGCATCCCAGACTACACTGTAACCTCCGGAAGAGCCCGGACTTCATAGCATTAAGCTCACTTCTACATCCTCTGCATCTGGAAGAGTGCCTGGCAAATCTTAGGCATTAAATTAGTAGTTGTGGAATGAAAGCATGGAGAAGGGTGGATGGGGAGAACTGGGCAGCATCGAGGGTAGAGGGTAGCTTGGGGCAGACTGGAGGAAAGGCCTCTGGAAAAATTGTAGAGGTGGGAGTTTTCTGCTAGAACATGAAATTTTGCTGGGAATGGGTTAGAGACAAGAATGGTTGGAAGTTGGAGCTATTTCCAGAGGCTCTGCTTGGCACATAATGGAACATGTGTTGGCCCAATGATGAAGAAGAAAGGGTTTGCCTTCTTATCCCATAAGCATGAATAATCCTTGAAGATTTTTGAACAGAAGAAACACATGATAAAACTGATTATACAAGATGAAATCTGCAGCATTTTGCAGGATACATTAGAAACCAAGTTAACATAAATTAGATGGACAAGGAGAAAAGGATTATAATACTGAGTCACTACATTACATGCAATGTTCTACCTCCTTTGGATTCTGCCCTTTTTTTCCTCTATATATAGTGGTTTGGAGGGCAGTTATTATGCCTGTAACCATAAAATGTTTCCGACGTTCATTGGCATAATGGGTACCAAAAGAAGAAGAATCAAAGATTTGTCTGAGAGGGAACTGTGCTACCCAGACTTGCACATTGAGGTAGGTTCCTGGCTAGAGCCATGTTTTAGTCGGTTTTGCATTGCTATGACCAAAATACCCGACAAGAACAACTTGGAGGAGGGAAAGTTTATTGGGGGCTCATGGTTTCAGAGGTCTCAGTCCATAACCACAGACCCAAGGTGAGGCAGTACATCATGGGGGAAGGGCCTGGGGTAGGGAAGCTGCTCATTTCCTGTTAGCAAGAAAGCAGGGGTCGGGGAAAGGCTGTGGGGAAGGACAACCTTTCCAGAGCATGTCCCCAGTGACCCGCCTCTTCTAGCCACAACTCATCTGCCTACATCTCCCTCTGTTGGCCTTGTTAAGACAGACTGGTTAGGTTACAGCTCTCACAACCATTTCACCTCAAAAAATTCCTGCATCGATACAGGAGCTTTTGGGGAACACCTCATATCCAAACCATAACAGGCCAACTCTGAAGGTCCCCTCTGTCATGTGATCTGTAAGAATCCCTACAAAAATGTAAGCCCAACTAGGTTACACCTTCTGTACTATGATAGGCCCTGGACATCAGTAATGGCAAGGAGACTCCAGGTGACTCTGTTTATGGCTTGGGAGCTTCTGTGTGGGCAGGAAAGGCTAGAGCTGGAAGGTGATGATGCCTTCTACATCATCTGGTGTGGACGGTGAAGTCCTCTTGTGTAACAGCTGGGGAAACAGACAGAGGATGCCTGCAGGGGTCCAGGAGGGAGGGAGAGAGACAGTGGTTAATGGAAAGATCTGGAGAAGATTACATGTTGCAAATATTGGGAACCTGACTGGGGCTTGGGGTCCGTTTTCTAAAGAAAACTCAGGAGATCAAAGAGCAAAATGACCTTCTCCCCATCTTCCTCCTTCCAACGGGGAGAACAGGCCATGATAATGCAGGCAGGTGGAGTCTTCTACCCTCTGGGGAACACATGGGCTGATGAAGGGAAAGATGTGAATATGCCTTTGAATAGATGGAAATGCCTATATAAGGACACGAGAAGCCTGCTGTTCAAAGCAGAGGGGGACTGTCGAGAAAGAGGTTGGGTGTAATGTAGTAGAGATGCAATAACTGAAGGCTTTCACCTGTAACAGGTGTAGCTAAGATGGACTGATGAAGGGAGCCCAGACTAAATGGAAGAGTGGACGCAAAGCCTGGTCACCCCAGGGAGAAAAGGCTAACCTCCATGTTCTCATTCATTCCCTTGATCACTCACTTGCCAAAGAAAGATTTATTGCACGGTGTGAAAGGGCTGAATCTGTGCTCTTCCCAATTCTTGTGTTGAACCCTGTCGCCCAGTACCTCAGAGTGGAAACAGGATCTTTCAAGAGGCAATTAAGTTAGAATGAGGTCATGAGGGTAGGGCCTTATCTAATCTGATGGGGTCCTTTTAAGACATTAGGACCCAGGCGCACACACAGTGAAAAGAACACGTGAGCACATAAGAAGATGCTCATTTACACGGCAAAGGCAGAGCCTCTGAAAGGACCAACCCTGCTGATGCCTCACTGTTGGATTTCCAGCCTCCAGAACTTTGAGAAAATTAACATCTGCTGCTTCCACCTCCCACTCTGTGCTCCTTAGGCATGACAGCTGCAGCAGACACCTGCCCACCAGGTGTCAGGCACTATCCTGAATGGAATGAACCCCAGGGTGGATAAAAATCCTTCTCCATAAGATTCTATAGACAACATAGGGTTTCTAGTCCTTTTCCATTTGAAGGGGAACCCTCTCTCTTTAGTGTCACCTGCCACTGTGAGCTCTCCAAACCAGGTGGGAGACAGGCTGATTGAGGGATGGGGGTGCAGCTCGCCTTTGATGAGAACATGACCTCACTTCTCCTAAAAATCTGCACTCCCAAAGGAACAGCAAGAGGAGCAAACAGTAAGGGGCTGGAACTTGCTCACTTTCTAAAGAAGCCAGCATTGCTATCATTTGGAAACTACATCTCCATCTCCGCAGGTGTTTGGGAGCTGGGGAATGTCTGCGAGATATTTCAACTGATTTTCAAGAGACTGTGACTCAAAGCCCCTGGCTTCTCTGTAGGAACTTGCAGGTTGGTCTAAACGTACGGGCAGCTAGCTCTCTCTGCACGAGAACTCTTGTGCTCACAGCCGCCTCATGCCAACAGCAACAAGCACTGTGGCCCAAAGCAGGGGACAGATGCCTCACCGTGGCAGCCTCCGTGTTTATCTTCCATGTCAATCCACTTCACAGCTCTGAGGTTACCGGTCCACGAGGCGTTAGGCATAGAACCAGGAACCCCTGCAGTGTGGATAGAGAAGAACAGAGATGAGAAGCAGGAGACCAGGGCATCGATTTCATCCACTAAGCATCCAGACAGTGCTTATTCTCTTTCAGTGTATTACCTTTCACGTTTCCCATGGATTGAGGTGCACCAATCCACTTGCATTGTTAACTTCTAGTTGATCTTTTGATCAAACTTAGTTGTTGACCCCTTGTCTAATTAGTATTATATCTAATTCCATTGATGAGCAACTCCAATTCTAATCAACATACCAATATCAACTCACTCATTAGATATTAGATATTAGCCTAATAACTAAGTCTTTGAAATGTGAAGAGCTTCAAAAACTAAAAGAGGTGGAGGTGAAGTGTCTCAGGTTTCCATCTTTCTGAGCCAGGGTCGCTCCACCTCTGTACCATGGACACTTTGGGCTAAATCATCCTTTGTGGGGTAGGGCTATTCTATGCATGTAAGGCACTTGGCAGCATCCCATAATACTCTCCTCACAATTGTGACAATAAAAAAAAAAATGTCTGCAGACATTGTCACTTGTCCTGTGGGGGAGCAGGATTTCCCAATTTGAGAAATACAAGGTTAAGCCATCTTGAATACTCCTCTTCATATCCATAAATTTTGGATAGGTTACAGATTAAAGGGTTCATTATACCATATAGAGAATTTATGCCCAAAGATAATAATACAAAAGTAATTACTGGAAAAGGAGAACTGTATCTAGAAATCAATATGAATGCAATCCAGAGAGGAACACCCTGCCTCATAAGAGCAGCAACATTTTCCACCTGAGAGTGATATGATCAGAACATAATTTTTTTTTTTTTGTACTGGGGATTGAACCCAAGGGCACTTAACTGCTGAGCCACCTCCTGCCTCAGCTTCCCGAGATGCTGTGATTACAGATGTGTGCCACTACGCCCATCTCAGAACATAATTTTGATGTAATGGTACTATTCGAATATCAGTCCCCAAATTGCAACAATTCCTCTCTTAGAAGATGCTTCTTAAATATCAATAAGACATTCTAGGGTAGGCAGAATAATGTCCCCATTCCCCCCAAACTCAGACATACAGACAAAAATGTCCACATCTGAACCCCTGGAACCTTGAGAATATGTTCTGTTGCATGGCAAAGGGGAAGGAGGATTGCTAAGGAGCTGATCTTGTCCCTGGGGGACCGTCCTGAATTTTCTGAGTGGGTCTGATGTCCTGGCAAGGGTTGGCAGCACTGGTAGAGGCAGAAGAGTTGGTGAGAATGGTGCCCTGTGGGTGGGCGGGACTAGTGTGTGGATTGAGGGTGGGGAAGGGGCCACCAGGAGTGTGGGCTGCTTCTAGGAACTGGACAAGCAAGGAAGCAGATGGTACCCACACCCAACCGAGAGGAATGTGACCCAGCCCACGCCGTGACTCAGTCCACAGAGATCAGACTACTGACCTCAGAACTCTATACTGTTGAAACTGCCAAGTTGGTGGTAAATTGTTGTTGGAGTAGCAAATAGAAAGCTAGTTCACATGCTAATGAGAAAAAAAATTTACTGAAGACAATGCTTATTGTTTAATAAGAAAATTAATTGGACAAGAAAATACTCCAAAAGAGATTTAATGGGGTTGGGCATTTCGAATAACTTTTCCTCTTTAAAAACATTAATAAAAACACGTGCATTTTCAGAGGAAAAACAGCTCTATTCTTTTGCCCTGTGGTCACATGATAATCATAGGATGACCTAAATCTAGAATTGTACCCAAGTCTCCTAACTAGAATCAAATTTTGCCGGAGTCTTCCCTGTAAACAGCATGAATCCTTAACCGTAATTCTCTATATAACAAGGTTTTTTTTTTTGGTTTTGGTTTACTTGTTGTTGCCCCAACTTGAAAGTATTTAAGAAAAGCATTGAAGTATTCAATAAAAACACTTTATTAGGTAACATTCCTTCCGATTGCTTTAACTTGCATTTTAATACTTCAAATATTATTTTAGTGCTTGCCTATCCAAAGAGAAGCTTCCCTGTTTTTTAATTACACTAAAAAATTTTTAGATTAAAATTTGCCTTGGTTGAGTTGGAGGTTAAGGACAGGAGTCTGATAAGCAAAGAAAGAATTTGGTTTATTTTACTAACGTCAACAAGACTAGGACGTGGGCAATGTTTACAAGTCTATTTAGTTTGAATAACAACATCAGAAATGTGTGAATAAAACATTCCCAAGACAAAATGTCTCTTAACCTTTGGCTACATTTTTGAAAAGGCATTTTTCCTTCCTCTTTCATTCTCATTAATATTGATCCTCCCAAAAGGGATCGCCCTGAAACACATGCCATTATTCAAGAGATAAGATTGTGACATGTATAATTAATGATCCACTGCCTTTCAAACAAACATACACACCTATTAACTTCCTGTTAATGAAATCCCAAGCTTCAATTGCTCAGAGATGTCTATGTTTAAATATTAGCCACGTTTGTGTATAAAAATATTGCATTTATTAAAGTGAAAGGGGAGGGAGGGGCGGGGATGGCGGGAAGTGCAGAGCCCTTGTTCGAGTGTGATGTTTAGACTGGGGAGCACAGGTGTCACCTAAGGCTGATGCAGAATCTTGGGCGCCAGAACCAGCATCTTTACAAGATCCCCAGAGGATTCTGGGCATGACCTAGCATAAGAAACCACAAGTGACAGTAAAGAGGACACTGTGTGACTTGAGGAACGACAGCACACTTGACTTATTTTCTCTTCTTGAAATCCTTTCTTCGGCTCTCAAGTTTCTAAGTTGGTCTCTTACCTGCTTTCCTATCTCACCCAAAATCTGCTCTTATGATCCAATCTGCTACCTTTATAACCTTTGGTTAATTTAACTAACGTGGACTCAATTCTGGGAATATATACATTTTTTAAAAATGTTTTTGCAGTGCTGGGGATGGAGCAGAGGCCTTGCCCGTGCTAGGCAAGTGCTCTCCCACTGAGCTACACCCTATTCCCTACTCTTAATAGACCTTTAAAGTCACTTTCTGGAAGACATCTATTATGTCCATCTATTATGGAGAAAAGCTGTGGTCCGAGGAAAGCCAGTCCTCCTCGGGCCTTTGAAGTCACAGAGCACTTGGCCACCAGGAACGAAGGAGTGCCCACTCCCAATGCAAGGGCTGCCTCAATCAACCCAGAGGTGAGAACAACTTAGCTTGTGTGTGGATCCAGCAAGCCCGGTTTCTGCCTGGGTTTCCCCAAAGGCCACAGTAACTTAGGGTATGGTCAAGTTCTACTTCTTAAGGTTGGTAAAGTACTTCTTCTACCTTCCCAGCAAGGGACAACTCATTTCAGTCTGCCCCAAAGCAGTTGCCTAGGAGGCCATTCATCATCCACTCTCCACATCTGTCCTGCTAGCCCAGTGGTAAAGCACTCTCCTGGCATGCACCTGGCCTTGGGTTTGATCCCCAGCAGCACAGGATGGAAATAAACAAATAAGTAAATGAAGATTTCTGGTGACAGCTCAATTTGAATATTTTATAGACATCATTTGGTTATTACTTTGAGGCGATAATGGCAAGTCAAACATTGAATAGCCCAAATACAATATGCCCACTCTTTGGTTAAGCAATTTAATTTGGTGTGGGTTAAAAGATACATGGAGACCCCCCAAAGCTCCAATTCTATCCTTTGTGCCAACATCTAGTTACTCCCTCTACTCCCTAATAGGCTCTGCTAAACCCAACTAGGCTTTCTTTTTTTTTCCCTCCAAGATTGACAGGCCGAACCCCCTGATGACATAGACACTGGCCTCAAGATTAAGGAATTCTGTTCTCATCCTAGTTTACAATTAACTAGCTGAGGTATCGTGGGGCATCTTTTAGCATCTCTGAGAACCACCTCTCCAATGAAGCAGATAGGATTAGATCAGTGGGTTTTTTTTTTTTTCTGCAACCCACAGCAGGGAAAAATTACATCATCTGTCTCTCCTACACACACACACACACACACACACACACACACACACACACACATAAAACAAACAGAAGTTTCACAAGAGAATACTTAGGATTATGACATGCAATGTGCTTATTTATTTTGCTGTCTAGTCTCCTTTCATTTTTTAAAATACTGGTTCACAAACTACCAAAGTGATTTCTGTCTATTGTAATGACAAAATTACTACTTGAAAAATTCTGGATCTGATTCTATTATTATTGTTAACGGTTATGATTACTATTACTCTTGTTTGTCAGGAGTCTAGGAGGGTCATTATGGGGTGCGTTGAGGGGTGTACCCTTGACTCAGAAGTACCCCCAAGAAAGGCCTATTTTTTTTGTCATTTCTAGGATGGGGCAAAAAGAAGACACTCAATATTATCAGAGAAAATATTTCAAGCTACAGAATTCAATTCTCTCATTTGCTCTGCATAGGCATATGTAAACAGAACATTTGAGATAAAGTTTGTAGAGTAACCAGGAATGTTTTTCTTGAGGTTCAGCCTTTATTGGTCAAATAACTGTATTTGTTAAATAAATGAAAATGATTCTTTGAAATGCAAGCTTTATTTACATTGACCGGGCTCCTCAGTGTTCTCAGGTGGTTTGGTCCTCATCTGGGGAGATCTGTGTGTGGTGTCCAGTTCCAGCAAATGCTTATGATTTCCGGCCAGAGATGTACTTTTGCACTTATTAAATAAACAAGGAATTTTGTTATTAAATGCTGAATAGTCAGCGCTGAGGAGACTGTATCAAAAGGAGTTTCTCACCGTTTAATGGTGGTGCTGGAAATTGGGACAATCCTGGAAAATCAGTAACATATTAGCAACATATAGGAAAAGCCACTATAATTGCCATTCCCTTTGGTCCTTTATACTAACATCTTCAAAATAAGATAAGGAAATAATTATTTTTTGGCAGTGGGGGTTACTGGGGATTGAACCCAGGGGCACTGAACCACTGAGCTACATCCTCAGCCTTTTTTATTTTTTATTTTGAGACAGGGTTTCGCTAAGTTGCTGAAACTGGCTTTTGAACTCACAATCC